AAAAAAAAAAAAACACTAAGCGCAGCACGAACTCAAACGGCTTCCAACAATTTGCTTTTTCTTATAACGAGAAATTTAAATAATAATTGCACGTGTTGTTCGCAAAAAAAAAAAAAGAAAATCGATCCAAACACTACTACGTATCATCGCACTCGAATATACTTTCTTCGCACTATGCGCTGTTTATCTCTCGATTGAAACGAAAATTATGTAAATGAAAAAAGAATCCTCGATTACGAAGAACTGTCACTGTCGATGTAACGATTAAAGAAAAATTATAATAAATCGAATAATAAATCGTATTTTTTTTTTTGATAATCGAGGTTACACACACATACATACACGCTTTTTTCCCCCTTTTAATTGCACATCACGAGTATTATTTAAAAAAATAATTGGGAAGAAAGTTATATACGTATATGGTGTACGATTGAATATTTCAGACGCAAAAGGTGGCCTCGATCCGGAAGCACCGCCGGCTAATTACGGAAGGAGAAGGAGCCGCGCTGTCCTTTATCAATTGTCGGGCCATTACAAACAGGACAATAAGCACAAAATTAAATTGAATAACGTAAGTGCATCGTTACCGATTTTTAATTTACCGGGGAAATCATTGTCCATTTCATTCAGAAGAAGACAAATCAGGAATAATTCGTCGTTATAGAATCTTCTTCATTCCACCGCGCCACCGTTGCCCGAGTATAAAACGACGGGAATAAAAAAATCTCAATTCATTTTGAGCCACTACGGTGGCTTCAAGTCTTGCTGGGATTGGTTAATACTCCTCGCGACATTTTACGTGGCGATCGTGGTCCCTTTTAACGCGAGCTTCATTAACATCGACAGGCCGACGATGGTCAGCGACGTTGTCGTCGAGGCACTCTTCATAACCGGTAAGTGAATCGAGCAATTAATTAATCAATTTCTTCTGAGTTTAGTTAACGAGAAAAAAAGTTGTGAAAAAGGGGAAAGGGGGGAAAGATTCTTTTTCTACTAAGCCTAAAGTGATTAATTGTTAAATTATTCGGATATGGATATCGATCGATGCTTTTTTAAAATAATCCAATCAAGAACGAAACGAGAAGGATTCGCGATTCGAGGAGCTCGTTAAGTTGGAAAGCAAAACGATTCTTCCCTTCAATCTATGAATAATCGATGGTTTCAATTACCGTCACTCGAAACAGTTTCCTTCCACGCACGTTA